CCTCCCCCTGCCACTACAAGCCATGGCAAAAAGTCTCTTTCTGTCTTTCTTGCAAGTCCCCTTTAAATATTGAAAGGCTGCAATCAGGTCTCCCTGGGAAATTTTGACTCCCTAGGTAAGAAAGTAATTTTAAAAATAATCTGTTTATCTATCTATCTATCCCCCTGTCATGGCTGAATTCTGGGTACAGAACACTTAGTACAACCTGAGTATGAAGGACTTCACAAAGAATGTTTTTGTAACATAAAGCTTGAGATCATCTTAACAGAAGATTTTATATATATATATACATATATATATATATATGTTTTTCAAACTGAAAATTCTTCTTTCCCTTCAGATGGGGGCTAAATCTTTAACAAAACATTCCCCAGCACAATTTCCTGTGACCTATGCAACCAGTAAAGTCTGCTGTCAATTGCTAAGGAAGATGGAGGCTTGTACTGATTTATGTCTCCCTCCTTTTGCTAGGAGAAAACCATTCAGGAAGTAATCTAGAGATGTTCTGGGTAACTGAAAGCATGAAAGGAATACGGAAGAATTAGAATCATAGAATCGTTTAGGTTGTAAAAGACCTTTAAGATCATCAGGTCCAACCGTTACCCTAACACTGCCATCCCACCACTAAACCATGTCCCTAAGCACCTCATCTATCCTTCTTTTAAATACCTCCAGGGATGGGGACTCGACCACTTCCCTGGGCAGCCCCTTCCAATGCTTAACAACCCTTTCAGTGAAAAAATTTTTCCTAATGTCTAACCTAAGCCTGCCCTCGAGCAATTCAAGGCCATTTCCCCTTGTCCTATCATCCGTTACTTGGGAGAAGAGGCTGACCCCCACCTCACTACAGCCTCCTGTCAGGTAGTTATAGAGGGCAATAAGGTCTCCCCTCAGCCTCCTCTTCTCCAGGCTCAACAACCCCAGTTCCCTCAGCTGCTCCTCATCAGGCTTGTGCTCCAGACCCCTCACCAGCTTTATGACTCTCCTCTGGACATGTTCCAGCAATGCAACGTCTTTCCTGTAGTGAGGGGCCCAAAACTGAACAACAGCATTTGAGTTGCGGCCTCACCAGTGCGGAGTACAGGGGCATGATCACTGCCCTGGTCCTGCTGATTATGCTGCGCAGTGCACATTGCTGAGAAGGTGGCTACTCATTACTATCCTCCACATTTTTTGACTGACTGAATTCAGCAGAAGAAAAAAGGGGAGGGTGGGAGAGATCATTGCTATTGTGATTTTTATGCTTTTTTTCTTATGTATAACATCACAAAAAAAACCACAGGCCATTGCTCCTGGAAGCTGTGCTCAGTGCACACTCTAGAGACCTCTGAATGCCTCTATTCACCCAAACTTTCAGCACGCAATTCCTGTCAGCCCCATCACATTAATTCTTGTACCACAGCACCATGCTGTGCAACAGGATCCATGCTTTGCATTTCGTCTTCCCTGGGTGGGGCACTGGGAGACTTTGCAAGGAAATTCTCAATAACTATCAATTGATTTTTCTCCTATAGGCAAGATTCTTGACTAAAACTTGTGCCTCACTGATCAGACATCATAAGCAACATACTTCCTTCATCTCCTCCTTTTGATTTTGTTAAATATTGCAAATGTTCTGTTCACTGAAGATTTTCTAAATATTTTTTTGCTGATTGGATGCCTCATTCAGAAGTTGTTACACTATAAACAGATAGGAAGTGCCATCAAACTGCACACTTACCTTTACCAGTAAAAGTCAAGTTTAAGAAACAAATTTGCAAACAAAGCTGTAAAGAAAAACGCCACAAAAATGACTATGTGGAGGTATTAACATAATGTTTTTTAACATTGAAGTAAATACTGTAAAAGCCAAAGAGTTACAGAATTAAAATTTAATGGATTTTTTAGCACTTAATGCCAA